ATGATTTCTTTCAGATACAAGTTTAGTACTAGCCAGGTGCGACTACAAAGAGACACCGCAGGGTGTTACTTTTTGCTTCTAGCTGTATACTCACAGCCGGCTTTTTCATGCGCCTTCAGTGCACCTTGTTCGGGAACAATGTTAAAAATATTCTTTAAAATTATGTGCTTATTAAATATTTCAAACTACTTGCACTGAAAATATTTTATCACAAACAAATGAAATACTGGGTATATTAAGTTCATAACTGATGTAATATCTAAGCTACAGTTCACGAACATCATTTCCTGCTGATAGTTTCACCTACTCATAAATATTTTGTCTCAAGCCAATCGAAACATCTTATGCTATGATTAGAGAAAAATTCTATATCAAACTGTGTTTTTCTCAGATTTAGTGCGAGGTTCTTTGGTATTATTATCCTTTTATGAAAATTCACTTCCTGGTGTACATTTCAGTGTCGAAACTGAAAAAACCAGGCGCACTGTATCTTCCAATAACAGTTGATTTGATATCACAAAGCCTTTTAAACCAAGTCCTTTATTTTCATTCAAATGCTACTTAAAAGTTATACTTTCTGTGTAATTCACCCATTCCTGTTATACAATACTCATCAATGATTTCATGTTACGTTCATACATGTGTGCAAGACCACACACATATATTTACAAAAACATATATTGATATATACATATATTAACATTACATATTCGTCGCATTCACTATTAGTTTAAAACAGACTGCCTCTGGCTTGAATGCATATTACTTCATGAACCTTCTCAATTTCTTTTGCTAGCTTCATCTTGACAGCTGTTGTCTCTTAATGTGCTGCCATCTATGAGCTCAACATATTTCTTTTGTTGTCGTGAAATAGGTAATCACCAACAGAATTTGACACAACTAAGACTTTTCAGCTAAAGATTCTTGACAGCCAAATTTAATATGCATTCTGTCACTAAAGTGTATAAGTACACTGCACTGGTGATATCATATGCACAAGTAAGCGTTCTGAAGATAATTTAGTAGAGGGTCATGATGTATGCTTGCTAGAACTCCTGCTACTCAGCTAGTTCAGGTGAGTGGTTCTTTTGGAACATTGAATGATATTTTGCTTAAGCAAAATCATTTGGTACCTTGGAAAACATAGAATGTTACTTCCTTTCAGTCAGGCCCGGCATGGCTAGGTGGTTAGGGCACTCGACTCGCAATCTGCGGGTCGCGGGTTCGAATCCCGTCACACCAAACATGCTGGCCCTTTCAGCCGTGGAGGTGTTATAATGTGACGGTCAATCCCATTATTCGTTGGTAAAAGAGTAGCCCGAGAGTTGGCGGTGGGTTGTGATGA